TGATTATCTTCCCCACTAAACTGCATACTCCAACAGCATATAACGTTTTTCTTATCCTTATAAGACCAAGGTATACTATAGTGACTGGCATAGGATAAGCATTCAATCATATTAAATATATGTATGAAATGAACAAATAAATGAACAGAAAAAGAACTATTTTAGAGCGGCAAAAGAAGACAAGTTCTGCCTATTCTACTTTCAACCCAGCCACTCTTCTCTGACCTCACTGTCTTATTTCTCACATGGTAAGAAAAATCTGTTCTCTCAGACCCTAGAAACAGCCAAGCCCTACATATAAATACTCACCATGTGCTTGTTGAACAAATGAATGAAAGATATATACATGACTGCAATATCACAACTACATAAACTGTCACTGTATAAATTCATAATAGAGGATAAATGAGAGAAATAAATATTTTACTTGAAAAACTCAGCAACACTGTTTTAATGAAAGGAGACTGTGGCTTAGTGAGCAACAGCACAGGTGAGGAGTATATAGGAGTGTGGCTGGTTAGACTCAGGCAAAGAGGTTTCTATAACAAGAATGATTCATATGGAAAACAACACTGCTGCTGCTTCTGAAAACAGGACATTCTTTCTCCTGCTGAAAAATTACAATTCAATCTCTTTCATTGTTCATTATGTCTACAATATTACTTGTTTAGTTATTCGTTGATAAGCCGTACAACAGTGTTTTTCTAATTGCAAATCATAGGCCATTTAATGTTGTGAAATCAATTTAGTGTCTTGCAATCAGCATTTTTAACAAATAAAATAGAATTTTAAAACATTCTATTTCAAGCAAGTAGTAAAACTTTTGTGTATCTTTCATTTTGATCTTGCATATCTGTCTATGGTGTACTAGGTTGGAAGGTAAAATGTATTTATACATTAAAAATGCCAAAACCACAATTACTTTTGCACCAACTTAAGGTTTTTTTCACTGTGGGTCATGGCCAAGAAAAAAGAAAGAAAAATAAAGCCACTGCTATAGAGAACAGCTGCTATTAAAACAGGCTCCAAAGTCAGACAAACTGGTAAGCTAATCGTGCCTCTAAAACAAGTTACCTAACCACTATAAGCTTCAGCTTTCTCTTCTGTAAAATAGAAACAATACTTGTCCCATAGAGTAACTGAAATAATAATAGTAATATAAAATACATCAATATGCAAAATAATAACTGATATTTGTTGAGACCTTACTGTGTCACAAGTACCATCTTTTTTAGTCCCCCAAACAACTTAATAAGGTAGGTAGCCTATTTCACAGAAGAGGAAATTGAAACACTGAGAATGAAAGTAAAAATCTTAATAAACCTAAGAATATGTTTCTCAGTGCCTTGCACATAAAGAACAGCAGGAGGAGTACTACAATATTTGTGATGGATAAAATACAGTTTTTGAATTCAGAGCACTCTCCACAATAAATAAAACAATACAATGCTCTAGAAACTTGAAGGGCGTAGAAATTCTTTTGAATTAAACTTGAAGAGGGTAGAAATTATTTTGAATTAAAGGAAGGCTTGAGGAAAGAAGGGCCCCTAGAGCATGATCTTCATGTACAAAGAAGGCTCTGTGTAGATGGATGGGAACAGTAAAGGTATCACCAAGGCCCAGGGACGGAAAAAATCGTACAGGTTAGGTTGATAACAGATTGTAGAAAGAGGTCGTTAAGTACTATCAACAGCTTCAGGGTGCGTTAGTGTAAATCTTGTATTCACAAGGAAACCACTGAAGACTTTTAACAAGTGACTAATGATGAAGATGCAATCACTGAACCTAGATAATAACCTCCAAATAAGTATTCTTTAAAAATTCATGTATTTTAACTTGACTGAATTCTGTTTTTCTAGTTTTATGAGGGGAAACCTAAGCTTGCTTCAAGGGACATTATGAGAATTAATAAAACATTCACTAAACTCTAGAGCTTTCTGAAAAATCTGACTATAGAAGTAAATACAAATTATTTTATTATAGTTGACTAACTCTCATAAAGTACTTGTTACTTGAATGGGACTAAATATAAGTTTTATTATGATAATTGCATTTTCAGATTGTAATGTTTGAGGATGATTATACAATTTTCTAATTTATTTAAATAATTTGGAGATAATTATAGGCATTAAAAATATTGATTTTAGCCTTTTATCCAAAGACTGTTTATACCAAAAAAAGTGTATCCAAATATCTGTTCTCCATCAGATTGACCTTTGATTTTCTAATATTTATTTTATTTATTTATTTTTATTTTTTTTTTAGGGAGGGAAGGAGGAAGGGAGGAAGGCAGGAAGGGAGGGAGGAAGGAAGGGATGAAGGAAGGAAGGAAGGGATGAAGGGGGGAGGGAGGGAGGGAGGGAGGGAGGGAGGGAGGGAGGGAGGGAGGGAGGGAAGGGAAGGGAAGGACGGAATTCAAGCAATGAGAGAGACATTGCAGACCTGGATCTAGAGGTTTACAAGTTGATTTCTTTTTTTGAGAGAAGGAAAGAAAAAAAATGAGTAAAGGAGAGAAAGAAAGAGGAAGAGAGAGAGGGAGGGTGAATGAAAATATTGCTTTATTCTGAAAAAAAAATGGGTATTAATAATGGCCAATCAATGTTTCATTTAAACCTATGAGAAGGTGTGATGTGGTATTGACAAGAATGTATATTTTATGTATTTGAAGTGGAGAGCTCTAGTAATATTTATTAAGTTTACTTGTTCCGGATCTGAGTTCGAGTCCTTGATATCCTTTGTCAAGGATATCCTTGATTTTCTGTCTCATTGAATTTAAGTCTCTATGTATCTGGGTGTTAGGATCATTAGCTCTTGTTGTTATATTGATCCTTTTACCACTATATCTTTGTTGCTTTAAAATCTATTTTATCCCATACAAGAATTGCAACTCCTGCTTTTTATTTATTTATTTATTTATTTTTGCTCTCCATTTGGTTGGTAAATCTTTCTCCATTCCTTTGTTTTGAGTCTTTGTGTATCCTTGCATGTGAAACAGGTCTGCATGTAACATGCCGTTGGGTTTTGGCTGTGTCTTTTGCTTGGGGGATTTAGTCGATTTAAATTTAGGGTTACTGCCAGTTGATGTTAACTGGCTGTTTGATCCATTTGTTGATGAAAATTCTTCTTTATGTTGGTGCTCTTTACTTTTTGGTATATTTTTAGTAAGGCTAATACTGGTTGTTTCTTTCTGTGTGTAATGCCTCTTTCAGAAGCTCTTGTAAAGCAGGCCTGGTGGCAATAAAATCTCTGAGTACTTGCTTGTTCATAAAAGATTTTATTTTTCCTTCAGTTGTGAAGCTTAGTTTGGCTGGATATGAAATTCTGGGCTGAAGGTTCTGTTCTTTGAGGATGTTGAATATTGGCCCCCACTCTCTTCTGGCTTGTAGAGTTTCTACTGAGAGATCTGCTGTAAGTCTGATAGGCTTCCCTTTGTGGGTAACCTGACCTTTCTCTCTGGCTGCCCTTAGTATTTTTTCCTTCATTTCAACCCTGGTGAATCTAACGATTATGTGCCTTGGGGTTGCTCTTCTTGAAGAATATCTTTGTGGTGTTCTCTGTATTACCTGGGGTTGAATATTGACCTGCTTTGCTAGTTCAGGAAAATTTTCCTAAATAATATCCTGAAGGGTATTTTCCAGCTTGGATTCATTCTCTCTGTCACATTCAGGTACACCTATCAAACGTAAATTTGGTCTTTTCACATAGTCCCACATTTCTTGGAGACTTTGCTCATTCCTTTTTATCCTTTTATCTCTAATCTTGTCTTCTTGTTTTCTTTCATTAAGTTGGACTTTGACCTCTGTTATCCTTTCTTCTGCTTGAACAATTCGAGTGTTTAAACCTGTGCATACTTCTCGGAGTTCCTATATTGTATTCTTCAGTTCCATTAATTCACTTATATTCTTCTCTAAGTTGTCTATTCTCAATAGGATTTTGTCAAACCTTTTTTCAAAGTTCCTCGTTTCTTTACGTTGGGCTACAACATGTTCTTTTAACTCACAGAAGTTTCTTATTATCCATTCCCTGAAGAGTGATTCTGTCATTGGAATGCGCTCGTTCTCCATTAAGCCTTGTTCCATTGTTGATGTGGAACTGTGATCATCTTTAGAGGGAGAGGCGTTCTGATTTTGAGTATTCTCATCCTTTTTATGCTGGTTTCTTCCCATCATTGTAAATTTATCCTCCTGTCCTCTTTGAAATTACCAACTTTCAGATTAGGTCTCTTAATTGGACGTCCAATTTGTTAGTTCCCAGGGCCAGAATGGTGGCGTTAAGACTGATGGTGCTTTTCTGCCCAGGATTCTCCTGTCTGGCTTCCTTCTTGTGTCCATAATGGGTGACTCTGCCTTCCCAGGCCTCCAAACCTCTGTCAGAAGGGGAACCAGTCTCGTTTACTCTGTGCCGAGAGCTGCCGTGCTGAGGTGCCGTCACAGCCGCTGCACCGGCCTCAGGAGTCGTGCTGGGGACCCGTGTGGGTCCTCCAAACCTCGGTCGGAAGGGGAGCCAGCCCTGTTTACTCTGCTCCAAGAGCTGCCGCGCCGAGGTGCTGGTGAAACCGCTGCGCCAGCCACAAGAGTCGCGCTGGCAACCCGTGTGGTTCCTCCACTGGGGATCTTCTGCTCCATGAGCGACCAAATTTGAAAGTGTGGCGTCCTCTAGTTCTCTGCACTTTGACTGAGAGCTGCAATCCCAAGCTGTTATCAGTCGGCCATCTTGGATCATTCCCCCTCTAATATTTATTTTATAATGTACTGTGACACAGAAGCAACATGTGCATATTATAAACTCTCATATGATAAAGTATGCACTGAAATTTGTTTCTTCCTGATTTCAAATCCCTGCATCCTGCTATTCTTGGAAATATGTAACAAACAGACATATTAAAATGAATTTAATAAAATATGAACTTTTAGATCTTAAAAAGTTTAAATCTCTAGAAGTCATATGGCATCTAGAATGCAATCTTATATATTCTGGGTTAAAAAAATTGAAAAAGCAACCTTCTGAAAATTAAGTCCTTGTGCCCAGGAACACTTCTTGGGATTTGGAACATCTTCCCAAATCAGCTTTCTCATTCTGCAAAAGATAAACAGGGCATCAAAATTAGAGAAAAACATTCATATTGAAAATGTGAATAGTTGGTGAATATACAAGCTAGAAATTAGTCCCCCAGATTAACTATGCCTCAGTAGGGTCAGATACATTTTTACATGCTAGCCCATGAAGATTTCTACTAAACTTTTATCTACATCAAAGTTGAAAATCACTGTAATAATAGAAATAGTTAATACTTATCGAAAGCTGTGTGCCAAACACCACACTAAACACTGCATAAATTTTCTCAAAGAAACTGAAACATTAAAAATATTTCTGGTACCAAGTGGGTACCAGAAAAAATTCCACTTGATGTGGCCCCATCAACTCACTTGACTAAAAGACAAACTCAGATTCTAAAATCTTCTCTGCCTCTTTTTTGCCTGAAGACAAGAGTTTCTACAGAGATTTGGCATGTGTAAAATAACCGCACTGGACTTCCCAGCACAGAGAGTATTGTGGCACCCATGCCACCATCCACTGAACTCAGAGCCATTTGCCTGACAAGTCAAACAGACTGAGGACACACAGTGATGATCTCTAAAAAGCAGACTGCCTGCTGATCATAAATGAACTGACTGCTCCAGGTTGCCACTAAAAGGCTTCTTTTACTATCCACTTCACCACAAAAAGTCCTTGACCCAAACTGTAGAACTCTGAAAGCCATTTTTGCCACCTCCAAGAAATACTGCTTAGGATTTCCTGTTATAAGCTTGTTGTTTTCTGAATGTATATGCATTTTTTAAAAAAACTAAATTCTTTCCTAAAGTTAGGTTGTCCTTGACAGAGCAGGAGCATCACCATTGTGGACAGCACCTCATTTTAAAATTCACCTTAATCAAAAACACCTAAATCCAAAGGGCATTAACCTAATGATTAAGGTCAGCATGACCATAAACCACAAATTACATCTCCAGCCAGAAACATTCCATTCTCCCTGACCAGAGACATGCTAGCCATGAGATAACCCCAACTGGCCAGAAAGATGTTCAGCCCCAAGATAACCTGCCCTCCTCCCAGAGACAGTCCAACCCCACCATAAACTTCTTCCCCACACATAAACATTCCAAGCTTGTGATAAGCCCCCTCACCCTAAAACCAATATATACTCTTAGTCTGTAACAGAAAGGGCTCTTGACCAAAATCAGCCAGAAGCCCCTCTCAGATTTTATCTAAAGAAAACCCATCTTTAACTGTTAAGCTGTGTTTCATGTTTCTTTCCTCTTTCTTTAACTCTTACAGTCCTAGCAAAATGGAATGCCATTTCTTGAAAACAGCCCTTTCCTTTTTATGGTATCTTAATTGTATACTGCCTACATATAAAAGCATTTAGAAGACTTTAATATTCCTGATTTAGAAGGTTTTAAGTCAGGATTTTAATATACTTAAGGACTTTTGCCATAAAAATTCTTAACCTCAAGTACAATACCTTTGGTGTGATATGAATAGTGTTCCAAGTAGTAAGATGAAAGAGGAAATAATTACTGGCACAATTACATATAAACCTGCATCATTTTGGTGTTTTTCAATATCATCTGAAAAAGAAATACAATTTACACAACTCAGAAACTTGAGAAAATATTAATTTCTTTCTGTATCAAAAATTATAGTAGACATTTTCTGATTTCATCACAAATCTCTATTACCTTCAAAAGTATAAAAATAGAAAACAGGAAGATAAAAGTATATTGTGATGACATTAATAAAATACTTATTATTTGGTTCAGCATTATATCTACTGTAAATTAGCAAATGTTTTTTTCAAGTGTATTTATTTGTGAGTCCTCTCCACTTGATCATTTTTATGTTATAATGAGTCAAGGTGTCAAAGTTGTTATGATGACTGTCTCAGTGTCTACTCCTGGAGGACCCAATCTTCTACACCTGCCAATCTCTATCTTGTTCACTCCACACACACTGATTTCCTTGCTGTTTCTTGAATCACCAAGCATTCTCACTCTTCAGGGACTCTTCACACACTGTCTCTTTGCCTGGAATGTTTTTCCTATTTGTATAGTTATGTCTTCACTGAGTATCATTGATAGGCTCTTAGAAACTGCGATGTTAATGAAATGGCAATGTTTAACAAAACCGTTTTTTTCTCACCAACATTATAATGAAACTACCTGGAACAAAATGATGTTATTCAAGGACCTCCTGTACATTATGTTTCATAAAGTTGCAGTTTCCAAGAATCTACTGGAGGTTTTACTCAAATATCATCTACCTCCACAGAAAAATCATTTCTGGTTGGCAACTAAAATGCCACATTTAATGCCATCCTTTTATCTTGCTTTTATTTTTCTTCATGGCACTTATTTTTATCTGGCATTACATAATTACTTATTGCCCATCACTCTCAATTAGAGCACTGGTATTTAAGCTCCGTAAGGACAGAAACTTATGTTCACTATTCAATACCCAGTGCTTAGAACAATGCTCAATAAACATCTGTTGAATAATATGCATATGAGTTTTTTATTCTAACACCAGATGAAATGTTAATCTCTTGAAATCTCATTACTAGGTTGCTTAGATTTGAAGACAATTTAAAAAGTTATAACAAAATAAAAATGTTGGTATTCCAAGTACAGTAAGATGAATCAGAAATATAAGAGACCCAGTAACTTTATTTCTATAGCTCCAGTTTTATTTTTAGAGAAAAACAATATTTCCTTTGGAACCTCACCATGAAAAATCTACAGAAGACTCTGGACTCTTCCATGATTCTATCAGAAAAAGAATAATCGGATGGCAATATTACTTCTAACAAATTAGGCACACACATTGGTGTAAAAGGAAACTAAAATTACAACTTTTACCTTGAGTGAAGCTATTAATTATCTTTGGTGTTCCCACTCCTTCCATAAATATTGGGTAAAGACTGAACTGGTACTTCTCGATGGGAATAAAATGATCTGAGGAGAAAAATATGTAGAAGGGTCATTTTTACATAATTAATAGTAATGAGTGGAACATAAGTTTTTTAAAAGAATTAAAATGACTATCCTATATTTCCAAACCTAGAAATTGCTTATTATCTGTGGATTAAATTGATGACCAAGGGATTTTCAAAACAAACTTAAGCACTTCAAATTATCTAGTAATGACAATAGTTTTCCAGATATTTTTCTAAAAAGTCTTATCCAGAGACAGAAGATAGCAATTTTTCGAAGGCATGTTCCAGTGATAACCAATTTGTTCAAGTGCAGGGTATATGAGCCATTTCTTTATTTCCTCTTCCAGAGCAATATGTTCTACTATCTCTCCCTTACCCCTAAAGTGGGCAATACTTCTTTTTTATAGGAAATTAGCTAAATTAGTTTCCTCATTCCATTCAAAGTAGCTGGGAGACTAAAGTCCTGTGAAATCCTATGCAAAAAAAAAATGGTGGTGGAGACCACAAGTCTCCTTGCAATATCCGGGTTTTGATCCATGAAAAATGACCAACCCTATAGCAAAGCTCCAGATGGATCTATCAGTGATTTTCACAAATGCCAATAATATATGAATATTCTTCTAGAAGAATATATTCAGAAGAAAAGAGATCTCTGTGAAACCTAAATTTTATATCCTTATGGTTTAAAGAAAAGCACAGAGATTAATCACCACCTGGGCAGCAGTGCTGATGAACTGAATTCAATTCAATAATTTGTAAATAAATTTACCCTGATGCTAAATTCTAGGTCTCTGGGATAAAATAATAGTTTGAGTCCTTAGAATGATATTATATAATACGATCATAGCAATCCTTAGTTTCCCTAGTTAACTTCCCTCAGTCCTCACTCAGACTTAGAAATGCTGTCTTGTGCACCTATACTTTGTACTTGAGTCACCTCCTGGGATAACTGATCTACCTTTGGGAGAGTACCCTGGTCTAGGTCACCCAGTCCTAGCTCCTCAGACCTTCATGCTAATAGTCCCACTTATTGCTAGTGGCCTTATAAGCTGTTACACAGTTTGAGGAAACAATTTGGTGGCAGAAGATATCAGGAGTCATTAAAAATAATTTAGGAAAAGATAAAGCTGGAAGCAACATAAATAACCTCAAACAGTTTAAGTAGACTTTGGAACAAAATTCTGTATCATTAAAAATAATGGTAGAAAGAATTGAGGAGAAAATATACAGTGTGATATGATATGATATGGTATAATATATGATATGACATGACATATGATATATAATTACCGCTGTATAAAATATTAAAATGAAAATGTGTCAAAGGAAATAGAATTAGGCTGGGTGTGGTGGCTCATGCCTGCACTCCAATACTTTGGGAGACTGAGACAGGAAGATCACTTAATTTTCAACTTCAAGACCAGCCTGAGCAACCTAGTGAGACCTTGTCTCTACAAAAAATAAAAATAAAAAATTAATACTTGGGTGTGATGGCATGTGCCTATAGTCCTAGCTACTCAGGAAGCTGGGGTGGGAAGATAGCTTGAGTCCAGGAGCTCAAGGCTGCAGTGAGCCATATTTGCTCCACTGCTCTCCAGCCTGGACAGCACAGAGAAACCCTGTCTCAAAGGCCAAATGAAGCAGCTATGCAACTACGATCGAGGTCAAGACATAAAACAGCACCCCAGAAGCTCAGAACTCTACCTTCTTCTTTCTCTCAGTTACTACTCTCAAACCTAACCCCTTATTTGATTTTTGAAGTATATATAAATAAATTCACACATTATACATTATTTTGCATCTGGCTTTTTTCTCTTAACATTATGTCTCTGAAACTCTACAATAATTTTGCATAGTTCTTCATTACCACTGTGCATGATTTTTCCTTTCATAAGAATACTAAATTTGTCTGTCTATTCTACTCCTACTGAAGTTTTCAGTTCAGTTCAGTTGAGGCTCTAGTAGTGCCACAAAAAGTCATTCTTAGGCCTGCCTTTTGGTTTATATTTGGTGTGCATCTTTTTTATATATAACTAGAAATACAAGCACCAATCGATTAGGCTGGTGCAAAAGTAATTGCATTTTTGGACTGTGACTTTTAAGTCATTATAACCAGGCTCAAACACATCTTTATTAATCAAAATGAGAACCATTACAATCAACAGATTATTGTCAATGAGAAATAAGTTTGTTTATCCTTGTGACATAAAAATCTGTGCTTCGAGTTTCAAGGAACTCACAGAAAACATTTTCTGCATCCTGCTGGTTATAGAAGCGTTTTCCCTGCAAAAAGTAGTCAAGGTGCTTGAAGAGGTGGGGGTCGGTTGGCAAGAGGTCAGGTGAATATGGTGGATGAAGCAAAACTTCATAGCCCAATTCTGTCAACTCTTGAAGCACTGGTTGGCCAATGTGCAGTCGGTGTTGTCTGGAGAATTGGGCCCCTTCTGTTGACCAATGCCGGCTGCAGGCATTGAAGTTTTTTGCTGTTGTTGTTACTCATTTTCTTTTCTTTTTATTATTATTATTTTTTTAATTATACTTTAAGTTCTGGGGTACAAGTGCAGTACTTGCAGGTTTGTATTTGTATAATTTTCTGGGTATGTGTTCTAACACAACAAAACCTTTAAAAAAAAGATTGTAGCCACTTTTACCATTTAAAGTTGTGGGAAGCAAAAAAGGAAATAACATTTCAAATTTGTTTATTATCTTAAGTTGTAGATGTTATAACTAATCATGTTGTAATTATTAAGATAACACATTCCTGAGTCTTTGGACATAAACTTAGAGATTCAGCAAAGGATTTATTTGGTGCATTTAATATAGAAAAGAAAATGGAATTTCATGGGGAAGGCCAAGGAGAGGTAACCCATGAAATATAGAAGCTAGGAGCCTTGAAGGAAAAAAAAGCAAACGGAAATATAGATCTCTCATACAGACTTTTATCTCAAAATGTAGATAAAAGTCTATAAGCAATGTCTGATGTGCATATGTCAAAAAAAAGAACATTGTCTCAAAAAAAAAAAGAAATAGAATTAAAGGTTTTGATAAAGGCTATAGGATTATATGTACTAGGATGGTAGTATCCTCTATATTTTTGAAGTTTTCATTAACTGGCTATATTAATTGAATTAATCATCTGTAGTGTCATATTAATCCATAAAAGCAATTTACTAAAGTATAGTAAACTTACCATGGATATAACACTTCTTAACAGATGAAGAGATTCTAAGCCATTTTATTTCATCATCTTCATTAAGATTTTTCCACTCAATAATAAAAGACATTGGCTTGTAGTCACTGGGTGATAGCATCCAGGAAAGAATCACACAACTGCTGTTTAAAGGATAAGCACTGAGTGACTGGATGATATTTACTGAGGGGAAAAGAAGGAAATTAATTTTTGAATTGAAGAGAAATATGATATTATCTAAAACCTTAAAAAAGCAATTTTGTGATATAGTCAAAAAGGCATTCTCATATGGAATACTACAGAAGCCTATTGACCAGCCTCTCCCACTGATGGAGTGACATTCTCAAAGCACAAATCTGTTCATTTCAACACCATCTGCACAGCATCCCACTTAAAAGCCTACAGTAGATTTCTACATTTGAGGATAAAATTTCTATCATGCCTACAAGGCCCTGAGGGCCAAGTCTCAACCTATCTCTCTGCCTCCCACCATTTTCCTCACCAAAGCCACCCTGGTCTTCCTTCATTTTCTATCCTGTGCCATAAAGACTAATGATCTGGCTGATCCTTTTAGGAGCCAATGTTTTTCCTGTCCTTCCTTGTATCTTTTGGGAAAGGTTAATTCCTACTCACATTTCAGATTTCAGTTCAGTACCACTTCCTCAAGGTAACTTCTCTGAATTTCAATGCCACATCAGGCTTCTTTTTTCTTTCATTTTATAAAATTATATTCCTTTCCTGGAGGCCCTTATCTCAGTTTGCAAACAGACACCCACTTGTATGATTATTTCATTAATACCTGTCTTACCTATTAGGCTCTGGATGTTCCAACCACTATAGTTCCTCTCACATTACAATTCCCACTACCTACCCCACTGAGGCATTCTACTGATATTTCTAGAATATATTTACTTAGAGAATGCTAAGTGTAAAACATTGAGCTGGGTGCTGTGGAACTCACAAGATGCTTACACTATAAATACAAAAGTAGTCATAATGTAAAGCAGGACATAAAATACCTTAAGAAAGATAGGAAGCACTCCAATATTTAAAGAAGGAGACAGGGCATATTCAATTAAAGCAATGAGCAAATATTTCATGGAGGAGGCAACACTTGGAAAGATTGGTAGAGACACAGAAAATTTGTGTTTTCCCTTAAAAAACTATACTTTGAATATGTAATCTAGACTAGAAACTCCTATTGAAAATGGTTCTCAATTATCTGATTAATGAGATATATCAAAATTAATGCAAGGAGATTCACTATTCACATTAAATGAGGTCCATAGTAATTTTAAGTCTCAGCAATTAACCTGAATCTGTATAACATGTCATGCTATTACTATTCCATGTAGTATTAAATATATATTTAATATTATATATACATATTTTTACATATTTATGTGTGTATATGCATGAATATAAATATATACATGTATATGAATATAAGGAGAGATAATTATTGACCTAAAAATCTTCATTAGTCCAAAAGATTTAAATATTAGGTTTACTAAAACATTTTCATATATTATGATACCATTACAACAATATTCTACCACATGAAAGCTCAAGGACTGTATTACATAATCATTGAACAATATACGTTGCTATTTTTCCAGACAAAGAAGAGATGAAAGGTAAAAAAGACTTTCAGATGCAGAGAACTGCAGACTGCTTGAAAGATAATTTAAAATAGGTGAATTTGCAAAAGTTAAATATTAAAAGAGGCAATGGATTGCTACTTTGTACCTCTTCTTACCTTTGCTCATAGGCCATGAAAAGGTTAAATTAAAATTTGCAACAGAATCACCAACTGAATTGATGGCTAGAACCGTAACAGTATGCTCTTGTTCTGTCCACAGGAAGGTGTATTTAGTGTGATTTCCCACATCTTCTGACCATGTTCCATTGAGGGAAGTATGATGGTTTATCACATATCTCTGGACACTGCACAGTGAATCTCTTTTCATCAGGGGCTGCAGTAAATAAAGAAATTGATCAGTTTAAGGAATGCAGTGCTTTAACTCTCATTACATATTTCTCATTAGGAGGCAGGGACCAGATCAGGGCAGGTACTATTACAAGGCCGAGAGGCTGGGGAGTCCGGTGAGAGAGAGGCTGCCTCTGCCATAGTCTCCATGAAGTTACCTGAAGGTTATTGAGCATAGCAAACTTATTTTCCCCTTTTTGAGGTTTTTCCTTAAGGCCCAGAATTGAAGATAATAAAGCAGGGATACTATCAGGACACTGTTCCGCCAAGAAGTTTTACTCTAACTTTAGAGAAAAGAAACACTGATAAGGAGTAAAGAGTTTCCTCATCTAAAACACAAACAAGGAATAAACCTCACATTACATAAAGCAACAACAAGAAGATCTGTGAAGATATTAATTCCCACATATTAATCATAGTAGGATTTGTCATTTATTTTCCCTTCCTCTGATATGTTTGGAAGATTATCTGGAATGGTAAGAGTCTGCAAAGGTTAACAAGTAACAGAGGGTATCAAAACAGTGTCTATGGCACCTGAGAATGTCTGTACTATAATTAAAAAATAATAATATCAGGTTATTAAGAATTCCAATGTAAAAATAAGTATCTAGTTCAATTCTATTCTTGTATTCCACAGAGTTTAACAATGTACTCCATTTCCCCAATCAACTTCACCTGTGGCAGGTAAGATTAAATGCTGGCAATCCCTTATAAAGCCAGAGAAGGCTGGACTGTATACCACAGACTAGAACAGTACATCTCAATTTATTGCCAGTGAGATGCCTCTAAGTTAGAAATGGCAGAGAAAAATAAACACATATACATGTATCCTTACAGAACTTGGAATCATCTGGATAGGTTGAAAGTAAGATTTTAGCAGCCACTGTAAGAAAGAAATGACTGAAAGTCATGCAAATTTTGCATTTTATTTGAAAAATTCATGTCAGTTTTAATAAATACTTTTTTTGGTAACCATCAAGTAAGAGCAATGTTAAACTTCCTTACTTTCTGATACTACAAGACCCTTCAGGCTAATCTCATGTATTTTCTGCCCCAACCCTAAAATTTGCCATTTTTCCCAATAGCCCTTGTTTCTGTTATTGAACAATGGTATTAGAAATAAGTCTGGGCCCATGCCTGACTATCAGATGTCATTACTTTTAGACTCTCTTAGCTTACAAATCAAGAAAATGTGCATGTATATTAAACCAGAATCTATATTTATATTAAGTTGGATGTAAGTTCGTACTTAGATCCCCAACTCTAATTCATTGCCACATGGATCATTCTATGCTTGTGTGTGACCTCCCAATCCAACAGTGAGAAATCTGGGTCCCACCATCCACCATCTATTTACTTGTTTGTCCCCTTCCAGTGTACATGTAGAGCAGTATCATAATTGTTAGCCCATAACCCTGTGAGAAATATATCAACAAGAGTACAGTGCTTATGTACAGTTTCTTTTGCCTTTAGTCTTAAGACTCCACTTATTTCCAATAACTCCTCTCAAGTTCCAACATGGCTTTTTCTCCCCACCTTCAGTGAAGATGCTTCATAGACTTGTAACACAGCTAGATTCCTTTGCCACAGTCTAGAGAGTCAATCCTGGGATCCGTCAACCTCTCAAATGATTTTCTTTTTAATCTACATTCATTAAGATTCATTCTTTGTGCTATGAAGTTTGAGGAGTTTTGACAAAAGCATAGTGCCCACCATTTCAGAAGTATACAGAATCATTTCATTTTTGAAGGATATCTTAGTTGCTTCCAGTTTGGGATGATTATAACTAAAGCTGCTTGAACATTCATGTGCAAGTTTCTATATAGAATTAAGTTTTCAAATCAGCTGAGTAAACATCTAGGATGCAATATTCCATCTCATGGTTGGTAAGGCTATGGTTAAATTTGTAAGAAATTACCAAACTGTCTTCTAAAGCAGCTGTACCATTTCGCATTTCCACCAGCAATGAATAAAAGTTCTTGCTGCCCTGTATCCTCACCAGCCATTGTATTGTCAGGCTTTTTCTGGGTTTTAGCCATTCTAATAAGTGTGGAGTGGTATCTTGTTTTAACTTGCAACGCCTTAGTGATGAATGATGTTGAACATCTTTTAATATTCATATTTGTCATCTGTATGTATACTTTGGTTAGGTTTCTGTTCAGATATTTGGTTGTTGTTTTGTTTTGTTTTTTTTTTTTCATTTTAATTGGGTTGTTCTACTGTTAAATCTTAAGATTTCTTTGTGTAATTTGGTCATAAGTCCTTTATCAGATATGTGTTTTTGCACATATTTTCACCCAGTCTGTGCCTTACCTTTTCATCCACTTGACAGTCTTTCCCAGATCAGAAGCTTTTAATTTTAATAAAGTCAGACTTACCAGTACTCAAAAATTAAAATAAAAACCCACGATGATGGGGACATGTCAAAGGAACATGAGTCAATTAAAAGAGCTCCCAATGACTGAAGCAGGAATATTTTGCGCAACAAAATAATGTAGTATTGGATTATGACCCAAGTCTAAAATAAATGTTCATTGTCTGTATTAATATAAATAAATAATTGAATAAGTAAATAAATTAGTGTGAGAGAACAGACAAATCTCCACAGAGAAGAATGCTAAATAATGTATGTAGGTCCTCTACCTTCAAGTAGGTGGAACATAACTCTTACTCCTTAAGCATGGGGACTTCATTTATAAAACTACAATGTAGAAAGGAGGAAAAAGAGTATTTTCCAGAGGGAAACCAGACAACACTACCTCAGCCAGACCAGCAAGGTTAACATCAACTATGGTAAATCACATTGGTAGCATGTATCCTTAATATGATGTGATGAAATCACATTTCATATCTGTGATCTTCTTCCCCCAAACCCATAACCCTAATCTAATCATGAGGAAACATCAAACAAAACCCATCTGAGAGAGATTCTACAATACCTGACCAGTACTTCTCAACTGCGTTAAGTTCATAAAAAACAAAGGAGGTCTAAGAAACTTTTAAAATCAGAAGAAGGATAAGGAGGTATGACTACTAAATGTAATGTGCTATCCTGGATGGAACCCTGAACCAGAAAAGAACATTTGTCTTTTTCTAAAAGCAAAGGAAATTTGGATGTGAATAAATTACAGATGAGTTAATGATGACGTATCAATATTGCTTAATTAATTGTAACAAATGTATCATATTAACATAAGATGTTAATAATCTATCAGGCAAGACTGGTGTTTCTTATTCAGCAGTGCCTCCTTCCACAGTGAGTTCAACAGCCTACTGGATCTCTCAGAGTATAGACCCTGAATACTCTGGGAGGTAGAAATATGTATGAAGTATTTGCAATACAATAAATGGCTCATAAATGTCACTGTCAGTTCTTAATGCTAACTTTAAGTTAGACATCTTAAAATGTGTTGAAGGAATTGTTTGCTAGAAAAAGAAAAGAGCAATAATAAAAGAAACTAAATTTTTAAGAGAGCAATAATAGAAGAAACAAAATAAAATAATTTTTAAAATTTTAAGAAATGTTGAAATGAAAAAGTTTAGAAATTATATTGATTATTAACCAAATGAAATTATAGAGTAACTAGATTTAGAAACCAAATGAACATAAATTCTTACACACCCCAACTTTTACATAGGCTTTGGTCTTAGATCAGGAAACCACTTTCAAACATGTGCTCATTCAACCTTGGGTATTAAACTCACATTTCACATTTGAGGTGACAGAAATACTATTTGACTTCATGTATTGTATTCCCAAATCAATCTTAAATTTGTTATTTACTGACCAATCTATTCACCTGAAATAGAAATCAATTTGTATGTGAGAGAATGCTTTGACAATTACCAGGCTAAACAGTCATCATATATGAGACTATCCACTGTTCATATGGCATCACATAAATGGAACAATCTCTCATGTTTTAGAAGCCCTGGGGGTGTGTGGGGAAGGTGACATTTACATTGTTCAGGATTAAATGTGAATACAATTTTTAGACTCCAAGAAACACTAGCTATCACCTAGTTCAATCTTACATTTACGCCGATGAGAAAACTGAGGCCCAAAGAGTCTAAGTGACTTTGCCAAAATAGTACTATTAACATAACTACAATATGTTAAGCTGAGAAGAGAATTAAAGTCTCCTAACACTATGCCAGTGCTTTAGCCATGGTACATCTTAGCTCTCTTCAAGTACATCTCATAAATGAAATGAAAATATAGGATTGTTGAGCTTTCCAAAGATTACTAGCAGGATTATGAACCATGAAGTAAATGTTTTAAGAGTATAAAAATACAATTTAAGAATAACATTAAAATTGGGAATACCTTCCAAAGTAAAGTGACATTTTTCTCTTTTTTCATAGTATCTCCATTAATTTTTCTCCAAAATTCAGGTCCTCTCATAGGAACTGCAAAATAACAAATTGTGTGTATGTTTTTTGAATGAATATTTTCCAGCCATATTTTAAGCATACCCTTATGCACTTTCAAAACACATTTACAAAATCTCTTCAGACCTTTTATATCCATGACAACTGTGTAGGCTGGACTGCTCCAATTACTCCAGTATCCCAGTCCGTCTAGCCTCTTACAGCGCACCTGAACAACATAGACTGCACACAGGTCTGGAACTGGTAGACTGACATATTTTGATGTTGCATCATAAACCTCATATATCTGTAAAATAAATCAAAGCATTAGACTGATCATTACCAATACATATGTATTAAAGGACCCTGAAGTACTTTTTATTTTAACATTTTTCTAAAATTAAGAGAACTGATTCCGTGTTTTCTGACTTCAGAAAAAGTCACATTAGGCTTGGATTGTAAACTCCTTCAAGTCAAGGCTTTTCTTATTTATCTTGTCATTCCCTTGCTGATGACAAGATTGTGAACTGGTTTACTTGCAGTCTTGTTTTCCAAACACTCTCTTACCCTACTACTAATCTCTGTCCACTAATCCTCTACCCACAAAGATGTTTTAAGAATTTAAATCTATTGGTTATATAGGACCTAATCTAGCAAACCCCTGATATTCAGTATCCCTCAATAATCAGCTAAACTGTCACATTTGTTTTAGTTGAGATCATTGTGATCTAATGATACATAAGGGTTTCTGATTTCTAGGTCTTTGCAGGCTGCCATCACACAGCTGATGTGGAATGCCTTCACAGGCATCCTTGCCACTATGGGAATGATTCTGTTTGTTTGAAAATCAGCTTCTTCCAAAATGCATTACATTAAACAGATATGTACTAAAAGATATTAACAGATGTTAGAGAAACAACAGTTCCTTGGAAAAATTAGGAACTGATTTTGAGGAATATGAGATGAAATAAGGTCATGAATTTTTCTTTAATGAAGGACCTCTCCCAGCCTTTAATATGTAATATGTATATCGTGACTACATGAGGAAGATACAGTGATACAGGGTTTCCTAAATAGATTTGTTAGCCATTTAATTTTTTTCCGAGGAACATAACATGGGACCAATGTTCTGTAAAACACATCAGGGAATGATGGATTTCAGGAAATTTTGTTCTTTAAAAGGGTTAGACTTACATCAATCTATTTAATGAAAATAGCTATAGAATACAGGAGAACGTACTTTAATGCCAATAAAATTAATCTAATGCAATTAAACTCAAATATTATAAAAATAGCATTTAGTGAGGAAAGCTGAAGTTCTAAGTAAAAGGTACCTTCCATTGTACTTCTTTTCCAGTTAAACCATAGCGAATCTGGAATTGAAGATTAGTCTCTGGAAAGACTGGGTTTTCCCAAGATATTTTCAATAATCCAGTTTTTACAGTAATTTCTGCTTTCACACTGGATGGAGGCAGTGGCTTCACTAGAAATTTTTGAAACAGTGTTAAGTAATGGCAATTTAAATAGTAATAATGCCTAAAAACATTATATTTTCATTCCTCTATATTCATCAAACAATATCTTTTTCATTACTTTCTCACTCATTATCTCATTTGTTTCCCTATCACTTTATGTGATACATTAAAAGAGGGATTTATGTCTATTTTGCAAATAAAGACTTGACTAAAAAAAAATCAATACATTATCCATGTCACTCTGCAAGCTATAGTAGTACCTGATTAGAAATTAAACCATTGGCTTAATGAGTTTGAAACTCACATATGCTGCTGTGTATTATTAAGTATTTCTAAGTCAAGTTCAGAGATAGTTTCTCAGAGCAAAGCCTTGGTTTTCTATAATCTGAGAAAAACAGGATTTTAATGGGCATCAATGGAGGCAAAGATGATCTGAATAGCAAGTGATTTTTAAAACAGATTCATATATGTGTAAGCAAGTCATGTTTAAAGTAATAATGTAAAAATCACAGAACTGCAAAGAAAAAGGTTATCTTCCCTATTTTCCTATCACCTTTTTGTGATGCTGCTTTCAGAGCTACAGTAAAAACTTTAGCTTAGGCTTACATTCACTACATAAGTTCTCCCCAAGTTCTTAATTTTTAACTCTGAGGGCCACTCTGCCTAACGATAAAAGGTATATTTTATGCTAAATGTGGCATATTTTATACTAAAAGCCTGAAAGCCCAAACATAACTGTGGGCCTCCAAAGCCTGAACTCTGATAGGACTCCATACATCAATTTTATATATAAGGCATACTACACTTACATAGTCATGTCTTGATTATCTGCACTAAGAGTGGAAGATCCCATTCAGAGGACATGTATTCAATTGGTATGCCAAAACAGTTGTTAAAAATTTGAAGTCTATCTATACCAACTGGTAAAGAGCTGCTCTCCGGAGGAACATCTCCTCCAGAACTGCTCAGGTAGGATGCCCTCCCCACCTGCCCATGACCCAGCACCTAAAAATTCAATGCCTGGTATAGCAAAGGCCTTCGGGAGTGCAGCTGTAACGTCCCTCCTCTTGGTCATTATTTTGACAGTCACCCCTGCCTGTGGACAATCAAAAGTGAGAGATGGCCCTTGGCTGGAGTATGCAGGAAACAACTGCAGTAGCAAAAAGGGGAGCCAAAAAGCTGTATGTGAAACCATCCAACCAAGCAACCACCACCAACAAAGAGAAACCTAAATAACCCAAACCTAAGACCAACTGTAGACACTCTGTCCAAGAAAAATTAAGAGAGAACTGACGGTAGAATTCCCAGGTTTACCTTCTTGATTTATTTCCCCATGTGTTATAAATCATACTACTGTTATGAATCACAGGAAAAACGTACTACCTGGATTGGCACAGTATGGATGTTTATTATTCTCTTGCTCCAGGCCTCGCTTGCCAAAAGCCAACACTGTGTAAAGGCATAGTCTCCCTTTTATACAGTATTTTAAAAATCACTTTTAAGCAATCAACAATAATTCTTTTGACCGCTGATAACAAAAATACCTAAACTCTTCCTTCATGTCAAGTTTGTGGTGATGATTCAGTTCTTAATAGACCAAAAATGCATTCTCCACCAACCAGAAAGATGATCTGTACTGTATTTCATCTCACGATAATTTCTTGTCAGGAAAGGAAGTATCAATATTCAAAAGACTGTGCGAGGTTAAATCTGTATTTGCAATTAACTGAATCATATGAATCATGTCCTTTCTGCAGACTGGCAGTGAATATCCAGTCTGCAGAAAGGATATGCTCTAAAGTTCAATGGTTTACATGATTTCCACAATACACATGCTGGAAAGGTATGAGGAGCTGTCTACACTTTATGGATGACAAAACAGACACAGAGTGCCTATGTGGCTAGTCCAGTTTTAAAGGCTAGCAATAGGTGGAGTACAAATACAAAAATCAATTTGTATCCCAACATTGAGTTTTCACACAGCTTTCCAGTACTAAGTAGGCAATATAAGCCCAACCTAAACTTGTTACTTTAGTTTTGAAAAGGATAACACCAAAGGTTATTCCGATAACATATGTTACTGAATCCATGCTGCATTTGTCATATCTTGGAAGTGAGTATGTTATTATCTGTGCATGTTTGGGGAAATGTAAGAGCGTTCCCTTCTCTCCTAGGATATTAAGTGTCACTGCAGTAAAAATCATTTAAAATGGAATTAAACAGTGGTGAGAGAATCGATTGGAACTTTATAATGAAAAAGAAATCTAATAATTAATACAATCTTATCCTATATTTTTTAGAAAAGGGTTTCAATTCAAATGTGTACTAATTAATTTAAAATAATGAATCAAATATTGATTTTTGGCAAAATCCCCCAGCAAAATAATATATATTAACATTTTTATGGAATGTTATTCTAAAATGTTTCCTACTGAGGAACATTCTATTTGAGGGGAAAATTCATTGAAAATCCCGTTTCTGTTTTTAGACATGTTATATTGAAAACAAATATTTAGAAAATATTTATAAAGGATTCCTTAGTTATAGATATGCAATAGCACCAAAGGTATTCTTTCATTCCTATTGCACAATCATAAATGGGTCATTTCTCAAAAGTTTCACAAAGAATTTGAAAGGATATGTCACATTTTCCAAGGGCTCTCTTACTCTCTTTGAAATCAAAATTTTTTTTGAAAATAATGTTTAAAATATGACAGATGTCATCATTGTCTATTTCCTCCACTTCAATTTAGCTATCTTGAATGCTTTTGTGTCCCACATAGCCTCATGAATTAAAGGCTTGGATTATGAGTACTCAGATTACTGAGACCCTCAGAATATTCAAATTAAACTTTTGGATTAAGAATACTGCATGTTTTCATAACTACACTGGAACAAAAACATATAAAATAATGCCTTATTTAGAAAAACATTATTAAAATTCACTCATAGTGACCCATGTATTTCATCAAGTAGTGTGCAGAAAATATTTCTATTGCTAAAAAAAAGTCTGCTATAAGTAATTCAAAATGAATTCAAAACTGTAAACTTCCTAAGGCTGATTTTCTCAATACCACTGTAAACAGGAAGATTGTTTTTTCAAAATCTAATGTGATGAGAAAATGGCAAAATACAACATTAAATCTGCATTAATCTGCATACAAATCTGCTAACACAAATGAAGACACAGTACAGCTTGACATACCCACAGAATTAGGAAGGACACATGTTGGCGGAGAGTCAAGTGAACCTAGAGAGTGATTGATCCTAATCCACATTGTATAGCCGGATAATAGAAAGATTGGCTGGAAAATGCATTCATAAAAACCATCCCTCTGCAAATGGCAATCTTTGGGTTCAGATATGGGATAAATAGATGGACTATCAGAACAGTAAAGTCTGCTCCTTTAAAAGATACAAAAATAATCAATTAGTATACATTAATAAAAGCAAAGCAATGAGAAGATATATGAGAATTCTGATTTGTTGCTTACAACAGCAGTCCTCAACTTTTTTGACATCACAATTTTTCCACAAATGAGGGATGGGAGATGGTTCAGGATTTCGGGATGAATTGTCAGATCACCAGGCATTAAATTTGCAAATTTACATAAGGAGAGCATGCCCAGTTCACAATAGGGTTCTACTGTAAGAATCTTTTTTTTTTTTTTTTTTTTTTTTTTTTTTTTTTTTTTTTTTTGAGACGGAGTTTAGCTCTTGTTACCCAGGCTGGAGTGCAATGGTGCGATCTCCGCTCACCGCAACCTCCGCCTCCTGGGTTCAGGCAATTCTCCTGCCTCAGCCTCCTGAGTAGCTGCGATTACAGGCACACGCCACCATGCCCAGCTAATTTTCTGTATTTTTAGTAGAGACGAGATTTCACCATGTTGACCAGGATGGTCTCGATCTCTTGACCTCGTGATCCACCCGCCTCGGCCTCCCAAAGTGCTGGGATGACAGGCTTGAGCCACCGCGCCAGGCCTTACTATAAGAATCTAACGCCAATGTTGGTCTAACACTAGGCGGAGCACAGGTGGTAATGCTGCTCTCTTATCTCCCGCTGTGTGGCCTGGAGGCCACAGAGCAGTACCGGGGTCCGTGGCCTGGGGATTAGGGACCAGGTTTAAAAGACAGGCAGAAGGCCGGGTGTGGTGTCTCATGCCTCTAATCCCAGCAATTTGGGAGACCAAGGCTGGCAGACCACTTGCGCCCAGGAGTTCCAGACCAGCCTGGGCAACATGGTGAAACCCTGTTTCTACAAACCTGTGCCTGTAGTCCTAGCTACTCAGGAGTCTGAGGCAGGAGAATGCTTGAACCCGGAAGGTGGAGGTTGCAGTGAACCGGGTTGCACCACTGCACTGCAGCCTGGGTGACAGAGGGAGATTGTCTCAAAAATTAAATTAAATTTAAAAATAAATAAAATACAGACAGTTTCACTCCATCTAAAAAAAAACAAACCAACATGTTCTTATTAGAAAGGCATTTTTGAAATTTCCCAGCTATATCCCAATTCTATATCTTTCCACAGAAAGTGATATTAATTCTTACTAAATATTTCATTAGACAGTAAGTGGGGACACAGATGAAATAGATGCTCTAAAAGGAGAACATGATCCAATTAGAGACAGAATCTACAATAATTTGAAAATCGGACTAACATTATATATTAGTGATAGAATATTTAAAATATATATGAAAATAGTCATGGCGCATTCCTGAGATGGCAAAGACAGATTCCTCACACTTCAAATAAATAATTAAATTTCACCACAAACTGAGTGGTAAATGCAATTTACTGTCACTAGCTGAAAATTTTCTAGTTCAAATTAATATAAATTGATATAATACCAATTCCAGATATGTAAGTGAATTATATAGCCATGTATTTTTCTCAGAGAAGAAAATTAAGAAAAAAAAATTTTAAGTGAATCCTAGCCAACACTCCACTTCAGAACCCATAAAGCAGCGGTGTCCAATCTTCTGGCTTTTCTTGGCCACACTGGAAAAACTGTCTTGGGCCACACATAAAATAAACTAATGACAGCAGATGAACCAAAAAAAAAAAAAAGTTCCAAAAGAAAAATCTCATAATGTTTGCAGAAAGTTTATGAATTTGTATTGGGCGGCATTCAAAGTCATCCTGGTCCACATGGGCACGCGGGCCATGGGTTGGACAAACTTGCCATAAAGTCTTTCTTCTCTTCTTTGAAATAACCTCTTGGGCCAATGTTTGCTCTAAATACTATATTTAAATGGCTAAAGTAGCAATTAGTCTTTCCTAAGAGATGGGAGTGAGGAAGTTAGAAGAAGCTAAAAAATCTATATTCTTCTGCCATTTTCTAGTTTTTATAACACTTCTTGTTCTTATCTTTTCAAAATTACAATTGTGTGTGTGTGTGTGTGTGTGTGTGTAAGTGGTGGTGCATGGGGAAAAATGAAAATGAGGGGTGAGGGGTCATCTGGGGGTAGAAAATATGAACAAGTTAGAAGCACAGTAATGATACACTTGGAATCCGAAAGTTAGCATCATTGTCATCGTGACAGCAATAACCATATATTGAATGTTTACAAGAATAAATTATATCATGTGATTATAATTAGGTGAAATAGGTCATTAACTCTCACAGAAACCCTGTAAGTCTTAATAGTCTCTCTGTTTTACTGACAAGGAAATTGAGGCTTAGGGAAGTTAAGAAACTCACCCAACTAAATGTAGTTTCATGGTTATTCTGTAAATGTTAAGAGAAATAAGGCATGGGATTTAATATAATAGTTTTCCACAAACCCCTTTTCTAATGTGAAAATGCCAGAAAAGAATGTAAAGACAGATTATAAAAATAAAATTTCATATCATGAACTTTCTACTGATTTTTAAATATGTTAGGTAGGATGAAGACAGCTATTATTCCCATTTGAAAAATATATGAATTGCCACATTTTTTTCCTAATGCTACATAAAAAGAGACTGACAGCATTAGAAATGGACTTCAGATCACAGTATTTGAGAGAAGGGATTTCTTTTTCAACTTGAAAATTTGTATTTTAAGAATAAATAAGCATGTTATACAAACTGAAATTCTCCACTACAAAGAAAAAAAAAATTGGGACACAGTGTTTTAACAGCAGTATATTTACTTGAAAACTACTACGGGATATTTTTAAAATAAAAATCTATCATCTAATCAATGGTGGTATCATTTTAGATAAAATGATTTTAGAGAGAAAGGGACCACTATAAGACGATGCCTTGAATTCTTTTTAAAACATAGAAGAGTAAAAATAAACAAGCACAATGTGTTATTAGAACACATTACCCTTTATTAACCATAAGTAGTTATTTCATAAATAACCTCACTTTGTTCTAAAAACCATTCATAGTATCTCCTATAATCTGTTTCTACCTCTTTTTTCCAAAACATTAATCTTTAGCCAAATGATGTGAAATTTTTCTAATCTTTCACATTCTCCTCTAGTCAGTCTCTAAGTCAAATTAAAATGTATATAAACTGCGTTTTCTTGTATTTCACTCGAGTTAAAATACAAATTACACAGAATTGATTGATTTTCAGAGAAGATACTTTAAAGTAAAAACAAATTACAGTTTTTTTAACCTCAGGTGTAAATATTTTTCAAGAATCAATTTATGTAATCCCTCAAAAATTTCCTAATTAATTATCCTGTACTTTCCTCTTTCAGGAAGCAAATAATCTACAAGACTACTGTTGTAATATTTCTACAGAAAATGTTTATCTCACCATACCCACAGAAAAACAAAACAGCAAAAATCATACATACCGATAATACCTCAATTGCAAAGTGCTTCCCGCAAGTGATTGGATTGTATTGGTTGACCATCTGCAAGTCATTTTAGTTAAGCTCCCATCAGTTTCACATGAGATATTGATACTGACATCTATTTAAAACACATTAAAATATTAACATAAAGCAAAAACACCAAAAAATTGCAAAGAAAATTTTTTTTCTTACATCTTTAACAGGGCTCTATTATAGGGAGGGTCCATAATGAAAACTTAACTTGTGGAACAAAATGAACAAACCTCCATTTCCTTACCAATCACATATAATTCAGCATAGTGATGATGGCATTCATGTTCATTGCAGCAGTACACTGCGTCATAGGTAAATTTTCCTCGAGGTTTGGTTGCATTCAGATTGAAAAAAGTAACTTTGCTAACATGATCACTAACAACATCATACTGGCTTTGAGGAATTTTCTCAGCTAAATTCATCCACCAAACAATCTTTTTTGAGGAAACAATCTTGTTTTCATTCTTATAGATGCAGTGAAAAGAAACATTAGACTCAACACTTGTCAGAATTTTAGGTGGAAAGTATATGACATCTGTAATGAGGGAAGAAAGTATGTCAGATGAAGACAAAACATTCTGTAAGTAATTTGTACCACATCAAAAAAGATTCACAACACATTCCAGAGTTACACTGCCGAAAATAAAATGAGTATACTAAAAAACTGGATAATGCTGAAATTGCCTGTTTGTGTACAGTTACTAGTGTCCTAAGTACTCTCATTCTAAAGTGAATTGAGCTTCCATGAATGTCTTCACTATCTTCTAAACACAGAGGTTTATTCATCATAAAATATATTTTAGTCAGTAATGTCACTTGCTAACTGGTAAGCAGGAAAGCAAGTAACATAAAACATAGTTTAATTCCACAGTGGCTTATTTTCCACCAGACCCTGCTTCAGGAATCAGTGAAACCTAGGATAAGCTCCTAAAACAAATCACTATGAAGCAAAATCCTGAAGTAAGAATGATTGCTGCAATTGCCTTGTCTGGATACATAAAAATTTCATGTAAGCAGGTAAAGATATAACATATAAATTAAAAAATAGTTAAGCAATGTCATATGAATGATAATGCAGCAATATACAAAGAAAATGGTAAATACTGGTTTGAACTATCATTTTGAGTTATTTAATGCCAATATCCTGTGGATGAGAGCAAAGGGAATCAATATTTTCCTAAAATATGATTTTGTAATACCTACACACAATTCCATACTATTTTTAAAGTCCTCTATTGTGGTAATCTTCATTTGCCTATTATTTTCAAAGATATGTAAGATTAAAGTAAACAATGGTTTGCATAGGAAGAAATTATTTCCACCATAGTGCTCTGCAAAAGCAGTAGTACATCTCAGTTGTAAAGTTAAGGTAAACAAATCATTTTCTGCTGATAGACTATGAATATTTGTTTTCACACATATCTCAGGGTTACCCTTAAAAACAGAAACAAAAATACTTTAATTGCATTTTATTAAGTTTTCTTTATTCTGTAATAGCATGCTAAATGTCTATGTCTACAAACTTACAATCCATACAAAACATTTATATGTTTTGTAGATGCCAGACCATTAGATACATGAGCATGACTGAGTATAATCCTACAGAAGGTGGCACTCAAGCTTCGCTTGTACATTACTCACTGTGGACAAGTAGCTGGCATATTAACCTATCTTAACCTATCTTCAGTATGCTCCACAACCTTCTTACTAAACTGCCTCAAAAGTCTCAGAATAATTCTCATTTTTTTAAAAGTATAATTTAGCTTTCATGAATTAAGTTGAAATTTTTCATTTTAAAAATAATAAGGAAATTTAAAGCTTTTCACTCTGAAATCAAATAAATATAGTAAGGTTTAATTGAAAAATAAGATTAAAGTTGCACTATTTTTAAATGATTCGATGCTAAAATATTAGCTTAAAAATAAGAAAACCAAGTTAATAAAAACCTGACAACTTGTGAAATTTACACTGGATAAATTTATTAGAATCGATATGAGATGAATATTGACTAATTTGCAAAATATTAAGATAGATATGCATTTTATCCTCATATGACATACTCTGCAATTTTTAATCTGCAGAATAAGAAAACAATATTTTCTTCACATGACCAGTTAGCAATACTTTAGCAAGATCTACATTAATGAACTTTATTAAAAGAGGAAATGGTATTGATAAATATGAGTGAATTACTCAAAAGAATATAAATTATAAATCAAAACATTCTAAATAAAGTTATTTCTAAATGTGTTTTTTTTACAGCTCCAGAAAATTGACTTTTTTATTTATGAACAGATGTACCTATTTTTCTTTAAGGGAAAAATATTTTCTCTAACCCATTATTAGAGCTGCCAAATGTGAAATGTGGAAATTGCCTAATATCCGTTTCTTCTCTTCCTTGGTAGCAACAAAAATGTGGTTAATAAAATTATTGCAAGAATTCAGTGCTTCTAGAGTTATTTTTAATATGTTACATATCCAAATGGCAATATTCTTGGACTTCATAAGTTCTGGCAAAGGTCCAAGGTTTTCCTCTAAAAGTCTAAGACCTCCCAACAACTACAGAGAAATAACCTATTCAATTCATTTGAAAATAACCCATAAGAATTCCTTGATGAGGAATAGTTAGCACTTCTTTAACTGTGCAACTTGGTAAATATGGTTGTATCAATGAATAGAAACTAGTAGCTGTAAATGTACTGATAATTCACATTTTGTTTGCTATAGCAACAATAAACAAGCTAACCTCTTTTATAAAAAATTCAGTAGAATCCAAAGTGTTTGGAAATAATAAGGCAGGCACATTAATTCACTAAATAAATTTATGACTCAATACTACTGAATGTTTCTGTTAGGTGGATGTCATTATAGCACTTACCAGTGAACAATGAAGGAGTATCTAATAATATTAAATACCTAGTCTTAAGAAAGAAGGATTCAAATTCCTTTACACAAAGAATAGAAAGTTCTCAAGTTTGGAAAAACATACTTTGCTGTTGCACGCCATTCAGGGAATGAGGATCAAGTGTGGCAAGTGTTGTGAAGTGTAGAAATTGCTGCCAAGCAAACCCAAACATAAAACCTCCAACAAACACTAACACCTTATTTCCCAGATATCGTGAAGGAAATGATGGGCTACATAATTAAGCCTGCTGCTTGCTAGCTTTGAATATTAATTTTTAGTGCTTCGTGAAAATGCTGCATAATTTTACATTATGCACTTATTTGCCTTACTAGTGTTTACAAACATAGACTTTGGAATTGGACAGCCAGCTTTACTACTTTCTAATTTCTAAGTATCAATTATCTTATCTATAAAATAGGAATAACAGTACCTATTGCATAGTCATTGAAAGTAAAAAATGATAATATATGTAGAACACTTAGAACAATACCTGAAACACAGAAAGCACCCCAAAACTGTCAACTATTATTATTATTATTCAATAGGAAATTTTGAATCTAATAATACATTTTATTTGTGATTTGGTACACATCACCATATCATTCCATTTGACCCAGCAATCCCATTACTGGGTATATATCCAAAAGACTATAAATCGTTCTACTATAAGGACACATGTACACGAATGTTCATTGCAGCACTGTTTACAATAGCAAAGACCTGGAATCAACCAAAATGCCCATTGATAATAGACTGGATTGGAAAAATGTGGCACATATACACCATGGAATATTATGCAGCAATCAGAAATGATGAGTTTGTGTCGTTTGTAGGGACATGGATGAATCTGGAGAACGTCATCCTCAGCAAACTGACACAAGAACAGAAAATGAAACACCGCATATTCTCACTCATAGGCGGGTGATGAAAAATGAGAACACATGGACACAGAAAGGGGAGTACTAAACATTGGGGTCTATTGGCGGGAAAAGGGGAGGGCCAGTGGGAGCGGGAGGTGGGGAGGGATAGCCTGGGGAGAAATGCCAAATGTGGGTGAAGGGGAGAAGGAAAGAAAAGCACACTGCCATGTGTGTTCCTACGCAACTGTCTTGCATGCTCTGCTCATGTACCCCAAAACCTAAAATCCAGTAAAAAATTTTTTAAAAAATAAAAGTAAAATAGTAAAGAATGAAGCCATTTTACTGTGGAAGAGAAACATTCATCCCATGATTAAATAAAGATGGCAAGCTACAGGCCATTCAGGGGAGATAGGAGTTGTTGACTTCTACTTCCTTTATAAAATTTCCCTCTTTCTGTGCCACTATGTAAAAACGTCCACTGGGGACTCCAAAGGCAATGTTTTAAACTACTAACGCTACTTGCCTTTTGACTAATCAGTGCTTTTAAAATAGTAACTAATCAATAAGTATACTTGTTAAATGGATTGAATATTTGCTTAGTGTTTTGCATGGTACATATTATCTCTGTACAGGCCATAATCAATCTCAGTAAGTCTGAACAAGAAAAATTTTGCCCTTCTGACAGATCAGACAACCAGTCAAAGGACTATTGTCTTCCTACAGACACAGCTTCACATGTAGCAGGGCTAGGAAGAGTCCAAGCCTCTGGAGCCTCTGTGCAAAACACTACACATCAGTTTCATGAAGAAGTTGTGAATAAACTGTAGATGTTCTGATGCTAAAAATAACCTTTAAAATATGAACAATCAGCATTGAAAGTTCTCAAAAGTAAGCATCTGGAGTGAAAATAAAATGTTAATATTTGCATTTTGTGTTAAATAAACATGCTTAGTTTTAAAATGTAAATTAAGGAATTATCAATACAAGGCCTTCTGAGTTTGTTCATATGGAACTGTTATATTAACTTTTTTTATTAGGAAAAATGATCCTACAATATACTACTATAGAAACACACAAGCCTAGGAGTTCTGACAGAATTTTAATTCACAAATTGGCCTGTTCAAAGTTTAAACAAGAAAGATAATATTGTGTTCCTCCTTTCATTTTAAGACCACCAAATTTAAGATGCTTATAATATACCAAATGCAAGTTCAGGAAATATATTTCCCTCTCAGTAGAAGTGGCTATTACATAACCTACCTTGTGTGGTAAAGACATGAGGAGTACTCCAGTCACTCCAGATTCCTGGGCCATCCAGTCTTTTGCCCCTCACCTGAACCTCATATGAAGACCCAGGATGTACACTGTCTACCAGCAGGGATGTAGCTGAGGCAATCTTGTCAGCCTGTTAAATATTATATCAAAACATCAGAACATCAAGTCGATGCGATACCTTTACCAAAATTGATTATAAGCAAATCTCATCAAATTTCAATGAATTAAAATCTTACACAGTAATTATCTGGTCACAGTGGAATTAAAGCAAATCTTGATAACCAAATAAGAAATGTTTACACATAAGTCAATACAATTTCAAACGGCCCATGGGTCCAAGAAAAAAAAATCATGATAATTAGCAAATACTGTTAATTGAATGATGATGAACATATTAGGATTTTAAGAATGCAGCTAAAATCCGAGGGAAGCTTCAAGTCACTACTGACACCTATAACACACACCTGGTAGAAACACTGCGCAGGGGTAGACAAACAACTACAAGTGTCCCTGTACAGAAGAGCATGAAAAATCTAAGAACCTGAGCCTGGCCAGGCATGGTGGCTCATGCCTGTAATCTCAACACTTTGGGAGACCGAAGCGAGTAGACCACTTGAGCCCAGCAGTTCATACCAGCCTGGGCAACATATGATGGGGCATGGGAAGCATGTCACAAACTAAAAATTATGGAAAGCATCAGGAATGCACAAAACAACATCAGATATTAATAATTCCCATTTAAAATCCTATTGTCTCCATTTGCAGAAGAGAAAGCTGAAACTCACAGAAGCCTTAACTCTGTTTTCTCCATACATGACACTGAGGATTCCCATCATTCTCTTTGTGAAAATAAAATGTTTTAAAATTTTTTGCCAGTTCTAAACAGACTGATTTTTACTTCTAAATTATACAAAACTTAGTTTCACAAAGTAAAGTCCCAAAGTATTCACATGGCCCAAGAGGCCATTCACTGAGCTCCACCTTCTCCTCCCACACTGGCCTCTGACTTCATCCACTACTGCTGTCACCTTCACTGGCCTCAGCCACACCATCCTTTGCACTGCTGTTCTCCCTGTTTAGAACCCAACTCCACAGACATTTACATCACCCTCTCCTTCATATCTTTATTCAAAAGTCACCCTCTCCCACCTCCATGTATTATTTCAACCTTCCATCCCCTACCAGCACGCCCAGACTCCTCTTCTGTCCTGCTAGCCCAGTGTATCCTGATGCAAGTAGAACAGTTCCAGCCAGGTAGCAGGTGTTCAATAAATGCTTATGGAATGAACCATTAAAGAAAGAGAGAAAGGAAGTAAGGAAGACTTTATTTGGAGCCATCACAATAGGTATATGGAGCACTGCAATGGGGTCTTGAGGTGGGTGAGGGTAGGTGGGCTGAGTCCAAATACAGCATGGGCAACAGAGAATTTATAGCCAAGAAGCAGTGGGTAGATAGAAAATTAGCAAGCGAAAACATCATGGTAAGAGGGATTCTGGCTAAACTGACCTAACAGAATTCTGGCTGAAGACAGGCCAGGGTGATCAAACATCATTTGGAGAATGGTGGGGGATGAGAAATCTGATCAAAAATTCATCAGCTATCCAGGGTGGGGGGTTCTTGCTAAAATGACCTAACGGAGTTCTTTGCTAAAACTGGATTTTACAGGAATGTGCACAGATGGGACTTGCAGAAGATTCAGAAGCCCAGCTAAAGATTAGCCAAGCAAAAGTCTTTCTGTCACCACATTCAGAAAAAGATTCAAATAGATTGAGCAATAAAAAAAAAAGATGAAATCAGTGGTCTGTTGGTAGAAAATAATTATAATTATGAATTCAAGTTTCTATCACTAGATTTCCTGTAGCCATGTATATATACATATGTATGTGTGTATCTATATTTTATATATACAATATGTAATATTGAATTATAATGCATTCTGCTTTAGAAGAAATGTGTATATGTAGTATGCAGAGGGTAATTTCTATGGGACTTCAGAGGGTCTTTATTTGCTTCTCAACTTTTCATTTCACTTACTAAAATATACTTACTTCTCTGATAACTGTTGAAGAATTCTCTGAGTATTTCACTTGATATTGAAGTGGAAATCCTACCAATGGTGGGCTGGACCAAGAAATCTTTAAATTACCATCATCTGTGATTTCCATATGCAAACCTAATGGTGGATCAGACTTCACTTAAGAAAAAAAAAAGAGAATACTTTTAAGTGAAGTAATTTTCATGACAGTTGCAGCTGAGTAAAATAAAATCAAAATAAATTTTCATCATATCTGCCTTTCAAGTACTTAAAAGGTGACTTTGGACAGGCATGGTAGGTTGCACCTGTAATCCCAGCACTTTGGGAGGCCAAGGCGGGCAGATCACAAGGTCAGGAGTTCGAGACCAGCCTTGCCAACATGGTGAAACCCCGTCTCTACTAAAAATACGAAAATTACCCAGGCATGGTGATGCATGCCTGTAGTCCCAGCTACTCAGGAGGGTGAGGCAGAAGAATTGCCTGAACCTGGGAGGTGGAGGTTGCAGTGAGCCAAGATCACGCCACTGCACTCCAGCCTGGATGACAGAACAAGACTCTGTCTCAAAAAAAAAAAAAGGTGACTTTATCCAAGGACTAATTACAGAACTGAAACAAGCTAGAATACTGGGGCTAGTCCTTGTACCTTATCATAGCAATCCATGTATATTCATTCATTCATTTCCTTCCCATTAAGTGGTAAAGACTATGAATCAGTAAATGAGAATATTTTGCTAAACGTGATTTCCTCTTATAAGAATCCCACTTAACTTTATTGAACCTCACCCACTCTAATTATTTTAGTGGGTAAAAAGGGAAAAAGCATTTTGCAGAACCCTATTTGGAAAATACATAAAACTATACAAAATTCAGCTTGTCTATTAATTTTAGATCACAATAATCTAGACACACCAACTCAAATAACTGACAGCATGAATATTCCCATGCAATAAATGCAGCATTGGCAGTCCCTGGTTTGTCATCAGAAGTAGAGGTGAAGTTTCTCAGAATATTAAAAATGTTCAATGTTTAAATTAAATTATCACACATTTATACTTGGAGTCCTGATTTGTTAAAGCTAAAATAAAGGATATGTACAAGTATATATTAAAAATAGAAAGATTACCAAAATGATAGAAAATTGATGGATTTTCTTGTTTGTACATTTCTACATTAGCAGGGCTTTTACAATTCACAGGAATAATTCATGTACATAGAGATTATCATTAAATTAAAACACCGATTTGAATTTTATTTTCAATGAGATACTATAATTTCACATTCTATATTTTCAGGAATTTGGTCACAATTTTACTCTTTTCCTTGAGTCAGAATCAATGAGGTTTTACTTCATGTGGCATATTGTAAATTTCATTTACTTTAAAGCAGAAACAGCTAAACACAGAAGTCTGGAAACAACAGGTGAAATTTACTATGTTCCCATGATCAAAAAGGAAACAAATATACTGAAGAAAAGTAAAATCACAGTATTACAAACTATTGTACATTTCCTATCTGCATATTGTAAAAGTTAACAGTATCAGAATGGAGTTACTATTGTCAAACCCTAACAAAATGGAGTTGGGAGGCCATGAAGGAGGCCATTTATGCCTACGTTGGAACGACGTAAAGAATTCCTCCAAACCACTGTATTCCACAAAACCGCTTGCACAGAGACACTTGCCTAACAAAGGCTGTCTCCACCAATGGGCTTATGCCAGCCCCTGCAGCAAGCCCTTGTAACCTATAACCTTTGTTTCAAAACAGCTTACATGGAGGTCTCCTATATGTCTTTTAAAGCTTCCCCTTTATTCCAACCCCCGTGGACATGCCATAGTCATTCAATATCATGCATGTCTAGAATTGCAATCCCCTGCTATTCCTGAATAAACTTTTTGCTTTGGAGAGTTGGTATCTGTCACACATTTTAGGTTTACAATAGTAATATGCATTAATATTAGAAATAATAAAAATAACCCAAGGTCAATAATAACAATAAACCCAATGTCAATTTCCAATTCATCTTACCCTGCCTCTCAGCAGCATTCCACAGACACATAGTCCCTCCTTCTTGAAATACTTTTTTCACTTGGCTTCTAGAACAACATACTCTTTTACTCCTTCATTCTTACTGATCATCCCTCAGTCATTCTCTTCCTGAACTCTAAATAGGTGATCTCGTACAATCCCATAAACCTTAATATGCTAACACCTCCCAAATATGTATCTCCCCTAAACTTTAGACTTTAGTTTATGTCCAACTTTCTATTCAACGTCTCTTAGGTCTCCAATAGGCATCTCAAATACAATGTGTCCAAAATAAGCTCTTGATTTCTGTACACATACCTAATCTTCCCTGAGTTTCCCTATCTCAGTACCTGGTGTTACTGTTCACCTAGATGCTTGGGTCTAAGCCTGAGGGTTATCCATGATTCCTTCACACTCTACAACTTCATCCACTAGACCGTCCAGTCAGCACCATCTCCCAAACAGATCCAAATCGAATCAGTTCTTTACTTCTCTACCCTGGCCTACAATATGCTCTGGACCAGGTAACTCTGTCCTCATCCCTTAATAGTCTCATGCCTCATTCACTCCTGGCACAAAGGTCTTCTCTTTTGTTCCTCAAATTACCAAGTTTACTGCATCTCAGGGATTTTGTGAATGTTGTTCTGCCTGCTTAGAGCACCTTTTGCTCTGGATTTTTGCATGGATTATCTCTTCTTCATTCAGCTCAAATGCTATGTCTTAAAGGAGTCTTTTTTGATCTACATAGCAGAAGGAATAGTCCCCACCTCTGACACTCCATCACACCACCTGTTTAATCTTTTTCATGGAACATACAATCTGGGGATATTATCATATATGTTCAAATAGAAGGAAAGATTTTCCCAAAATTATCTCTGCATAAAGACAAAATTAAGAAAGTTTCCACGTTCTTAAAAATTCCATAGTACTTCCCTTAACTACTTCATTTTGAAAAACAATGCAACTCAATGTTGACTCTAAATGCTACCAAAAATCATCTGGTAGAATTAGTTTTGAAAAGAAAAGAAAATGATATTGAATAAAGATTCTGTAATATATTTTCTCTGTGATATAACTTCACAATTGAATTCCTTGTGTGTCATTGTAATTATGTTGTGGAGATCACAAATATATCCCTAGAAGACAAATTATTTTAAAGTCTTAATGTTAAAATATGATGTCATACACAGTTTCAAAAAGTGCTATATCTCAAGTAACTTAGAAAGAAGTAAAGCTTGAGTTGTACAGAAAATTGTATCAGATACTTGGAAAAGTGGCTCTAGTTATGTCAAAACCAAAGATGCAAAATCAGATATGAAGAATTTGCATATAATTGTCGCAGGAAATATAAGTGGGAAAAACTGCTAAATTATACACAATTAAATGAAATTAATAAATTAAATACAGAAAGCTAACATTTTCCTGTATTATTCACATTTGTAATTGTATGTTTACATTGATAAAAAGAGATTCAGAGGATTTTTACACAAAGAAAACAGAGTGTTGTCTATTATTTGAGGTTTTTTTGTAAGCAGGTTTGTACAGTAAATTACTCATTTACTCTTTTATTATTGTCTCCGCCTACTACTGTTTGTCCCTGCTCTATCAGGTAGAAACTATGTCTAATTCTCCACCCTTTTTCCAGCTCCTAGAGCAGTCTTGATGAACATAAGCCTCTAAGAAATATTTAATGAAGGAATAAATTCAGGTAAGAAACATGGTTCTAATTATTTTCAAAAATAGTTATCTGAGATGTGAAAAAGTGATATTCAATCAAAACATATCTATTAAGTCCACGATTTAAAGAAAACAAACTGTTTTCAAAAAGAATATAAGTGACAATGGCAGAGATATACATACTATTATTAAATCATTCTAGAAGCCACTCTTAATGCCCCTAGTACTGCATCTACCATCACAGTGTTGAGCAAAGTGGGATAAGTTAGCAGATATTTTTGCAAGCAATTTTTAACCTTTATATGTGACTGATGTTTAGATCTATTATTATCATTTTAGTGCACAACTTACCCACATTTATGGGCTGAACTGACATTAGAGGTGACTGAAAAATTACTCCACCAGATGTGATTTTCAAATACATGAGAAGAGTGTCGTTGAGTTTGGCTGTTGGCACAGACACGAGACATTCACAACATTTGTGAACACTGCAGTTGCACTGAACAATCTGAAAACTGCCTTTTTGGGGAACCAGAGGTGAATCTTCTAATACTTCAGGCCTATATTGAAAAATAAGAGCTAAATATTAACACAGATATAAAAATACTGGATAGGCTTTTAAAGCAGGACACTAAATAGAAATTGAAGTAAACTATTTGGGACACCCAGCTTAAAGGGTATCTAAAAAAAAGATACCTTATATTGGAAAAACAAAGATAAAAATTACAGCAGGTTAATCGTCGGAAATAACATAAGCAAAAAGATAGTGAAGCAAAAGTGAAGTATTAAAATAAAAGAAAAACTGCAATCCTAAAATCCTACACCCAGCAAAAGCAGCTTTCAAAATAATGATGAAATAAAGTCTTTTTTTCAGACATACTGAAGTATAAAGAATTCATCTCCACCATACTTGCACTATAATAAATGCTAAAGGAAATCCATCAGGCAAAAAGAAAATGATAGCAGATAGAAATGTGGTTTCACACAAAGAAATGAAATTCAGCTAAAACAATAAACATTGATTGATTGTTTAAAGCAAATATAATAGCCCTGTGCTGTGGGGTTTACAACATAGGTAAAAGTGAAATACATGGCATTAGTACCAAGCTTGGGAGGGGAGAAATTTGAAATGTTCTTACACGAAGTGGTGTGATATCGCTTAGAGGTATAATATCACTTGGACTATAATAAATTAAAGACAAATATTATAAATGCTAAAACAACCATTAAAATAATAAAACAAGATCAATAAGCAACAAAGGATATTAAATAAAAAATCAAAAAGAAGGCATAAAAAGAGGAAAATCAGAACAAAGAATAAATGAGATGGGATAAGAAAAGAAATAAAAAGATTTAAACCTAAACATATCAGTTATCACCTAAATGCCAACAGCCTAAACATCCCATTTAAAAGGCAAAGATTATCAGATTGGATTAAAAAGACCCAATTATAAACAACCTACAAGAAATCAATTTTAGCTATAAACACAAACAAAAGGAAATGAATTGAAAAAGATAAGATTAGTCAAAAGTTGTAATGGTTATATTAATGTCAGAGAAAGTAGGTTTCAAAGCAGTGAATATTCCTTGGGATAAAGAAGAGCATTCATAATGAAAAAGGGATCAATTCACCAAGAGGACATAACAATCCAAAACATTCATGCACCCAATAACAGAGTTTCAAAATACATGAAGCAAAAGATTAAGAGAGCCTTAAGGAGAAATAGATTAATTTACAATTATTGATTAATTTCAATTCATCATTGATGCAACATCCTCCTCCATTGATAATAACAAGTAGATAGTAATTTTATCCTTATTAATTACAATAAGGATAAAAACATGAACAATGCTATCAAGTGGCTTGATCTTTCTTGTGTAGTAGCAAAAAGCTTACTAACATTACCATCTGTAGTTATGCGAAAAGCATAGAATGTGCCTGTTGAACTCCGTGATTTATTTAAGATTTCCAGCAAGTGTTGATGATGCCTCTTGGTTTCTTCTTGCTGTAAGATGAGAGGGTATGTACTGAAGAAAGGCCCATTAAACAAAAGGAAAGAGGACTTCATAGTTTTGAAGTGTCCAGCCTCTCCAGATAGCAAATGCTGTTAAAATTAAGAAATGCCTTCTGAGCAAAGATCAAAGAGAAGACAGAGAAGAGATCTCTAGGACATTTGCAGGTTTTTAAATATCTAATGGAGTGAACACCAGAGAGATACACTAGAGGTCCATGTGGTTTCGTGAGACAAGCATATTAGAAGAAATATTGCTAATATAGAGACAGAAAGAGACAGAGACCAAACAAAATGAAAAGAAAAAAAGTCTTTGGACCATCAAAAATTGGCTGATGGGAAAGCAGGCTGTGAAAGCAACTTAGATGGGGATATGGGCTGCTTTTCATGAAGAAGGCAGGGTTACTCAGGCCAGAACACGGTACCCAGAAAGGGAAGCCAAGAACCATGGAGCATTATTCCTGAAGTTGGGTAGTAGCGGGAATAAACTAACATGAAGGGTGCAAGGGGAGATGGTCAAAGAGCAGGATTCTTGACATGGAAATTATAGAAAAAGCATGCTTACTGACAATGACAAACTCTAGAGCATGTCCATAACAACAGGTGAACAAGGTGGTGTGAGAAAACAAGAATATTGAAAATAAGCATTCAAGAAATTGAAGATTAATTCCGTGGATAATGAAATCACCAAGAATGCTGGCAGTAGTAATTGTGAAGACAAAGTAAAGTAGGTGTTAGTAGTTACAGAAGCCCAAACTCCAAGCATGACCTTGAGGGCCCTTTACAATCTGACCCTTGTGTATCCCTCCATCCCGATTTCTCTTAATTCCCCAGCTTCCCAGCCCCACCACACTCAACTTTTCAACTCCTCACATGTGCCATCTGTGGCTCTGGGCTTTTGCAAATGTTCTTCACTCTCTGGATCATTCTCTTCTGCCCCCTCTTCACCTGGTCTGGATATCCCTTGTGTTTCCACAAGGCCCTGTATTTATTACATCACAGCATTTCCAAACTTCGTTGTTACGTCTTCAGTTTTTACCACAGAATGTTAGCTCCGGGAGGGCAAAGGCTGAGTCTGTGTTATGGAACCTTGTTCCCCATGCTCACCTCAGTGCCTGGAAGACACAGTAGGTACCTAATAAAGAAAGAAGATTTCCTCCCTAAATCTAAGAGGAAATCTCTAGAGCAGTTTCAAAATACTACATTTTTAGAGTATCCATCCTTCAGATTCTCTGACAAACATTAATATCTGAGCCCAAACAAAGCTTTCCCTGAAGGGACATATTTATATTGTTTTAAATCCCTTACAAACATTAGATTTTATCCATTTTAAAATATACTTTTTTTACTCATATGAATTTTCCAATGTCCAAAATAGGTGAGTCTGATTCAAAGCTTTTCTATAGTAACCATCTGCATGGATTTTCTCTTCCATGGAGTTCTCACTGGTTATACTGACCAGCTCTTCCTATATTGACCAGCTCTTCTTATTGACTTAGAGTCCTATTTAATTATTTGGCGATACAGTGCCTTAAGGGGCAAACAGAAATAGAATTAAAGGCAGAAACAGCATGTGATAAATAATATAATGAACATATTAACCAATCATAGCGGTACAATGTGGCAGAAAATAAAAACAGGAGACTGTTTCTCAAATTCCTTGCAATTATGACAGGTTTTACTGTGCTAATATTTTTAGAAACCTAGGTTTCAAGTAAAAGAAGACCAAATTAAATTCATTTTGTAAGAAAGTTTAAAAATCTAGTTAATTTACCATAATTTTCTCATTCTTCTGGGCCCTATTGTTTAGAAGAATAGACTGATGACTGTTCAGCTGACTAAACTGAAGCTCAAATTCTCATCTGTAGCTAAGTAACTACTCAAATTTGTAAGACTCTGAAATGATATCTATCTACATATAGATTAAATATATATTTGACTTTTTCAGAAAAATATCATGTCATAATTATAATATATACATAATAGAATGTAAGCACTTACACATATTCATAGAGCTTTATTTATTTATTTATTTATTTTTTTTTTTGAGACAGTTTTGCGCTTGTTACCCAGGCTGGAGTGCAATGGCACGATCTCGGCTCACCGCAACCTCCACCCCCTGGGTTCAGGCAATTCTCCAGCCTCAGCCTCCTGAGTAGCTGGGATTACAGGCACGCGCCACCATGCCCAGCTAATTTTTTATATTTTTAGTAGAGACGGGGTTTCACCATGTTCACCAGGATGGTCTCAATCTCTTGACCTCATGATCCACGCACCTTGGCCTCCCAAAGTGCTGGGATTACAGGTTTGAGCCACCGCGCCCAGCCATATTCATAGAGCTTTAAAACTGAGCACTTTGCCCTAACCTGATGATGAGATCTGAAATTGTCTACAATAGGCACCCAAGTGAGAATTTTTATCACCATCCAAAGCATTTAGGTCATCGTAAGAAGGTGCCGCTATGCAAAGGAATACTTCTCTCTGAGCTAAAACCTATCTTGCTCAAAAAAGCAGGAAATGGCCCCAAACTTCAAATATATCTTCATCCACCACAGGGCTTCCTTTCTTCTTTCAATACTCAGAAGTTGAGGTATGCCTTTTTTAAGACCAACCCCATACTCTTTTCATGGAATTTGCCTATTCGATTATTCACTCTCTATAATATTAATCTTCCATGGGTCCCTTTCTATTATCAACTTTTTTCTCCCTGCTGGGTCACTTTCTATAGACTAGAAAAAAACTCATGATTTCCCATCCTTTAATTATCTACCCTGGGACATTCATTATACATTATACACGACTCCTTCACCTCCACTTTCCAACCCCAGCCAGGCTTCTCAGGCCCCTAGAGTGTAACTCAGTCACTTTTGTTATGAACATTTGTCTACTTTCTGGCTGGCCAGCATCTGACTGAACAATCTATCATCATATAAGGCTGAAACACTGGCAGCTAGAGCACCTTCTCGCCAACTAGATACCCCCATCTGAGACACTGCCCCTCGTGATAACTGCACAAAGACACAGAGGCTTTGGGGTTCATCAGACTCCTGGCATCAGGTATCCAGCAGGTGGAAATGATAACCACAGGGACACTCAATGTCCAGATAAGATGGCAGTGGCACTATATCTGGGTTCCTCCTATGGGTGACTTAAAGTCCAGGGGTCTAACATAAGTAATAAATATTAACTACAGTCTGGTAATCAATACGGAAAGGTGAGCAGTGGCAGCTATGCATATTTTCTCTCTTACAGTATGCTTCTGTGTGTTTCTATATATTAACTAATTTCTTCTCAATCTCTTCCTTCCCCCTATTGTTTTATATAAGGATTCTTGCTGTTATTAAATTTACAGTTTTATATTTAGCTTCCAGAGTAATCATTCAGGTGGAACTGTGACTAAGAAGAGCAATTAATACTGCCCAGAGATCAATACTGTACATGTTGCACAGAAAATATGTGACATAGCATCATCCCATTTGGGGGAGAGGATAAGACTGTCTCCTTTTGTTCAAAGTGTATCCCACCACTCCCCACCCTCTGGGAAGCTC